ATATCTTTTGTCTGTCTCCTTATAGTTTATCTTTCTGTCTCCTTAGACATAATATACTTCTTTCCTTATACACAGCCTGTCTCTCTATCTGTCTCTTTATATACATGTTGTCTCTTCTGTCTCCTTTTTATGTGTCTCCTTTGTCTCCCCACACAGAGCCTGTCTCTTCTGTCTCCTTATATTCTGTCTCTCTTCTGTCTCCTTATAAACTGTCTCTCTTCTGTCTCCTTATAAACTGTCTCTCTTCTGTCTCCTTATATTCTGTCTCTCCTCTGTCTCCTTATAAACTGTTTCTCTTCTGTCTCCTTACATGCTGTCTCTCTTTTGTCTCCTTATAATATATCTCCTCTGTCTCCTTAATCACTATTTGTTTTATCTGTCTCCTTAAACAAATTATATTTCTTCTGTCTCTGGCGGGCTCTTCTGTCTCCTTATATACATTTTGTCTCTTTTGTCTCCTTCTATACAACCTGTCTCTTCTGTCTCCTTATGTCTCTTCTGTCTCCTTATAACCTGTCTCTTCTGTCTCCTTATTATAATATGTCTCTTCTGTCTCCTTATATATGTCTCTTCTGTCTCCTTACACAGATTCTGTCTCTTCTGTCTCCTTATAAACTGTCACCTCTGTCTCCTTGTATACAAGCTGTCTCTTCTGTCTCTTTATATACAAGTTGTCTCTTCTGTCTCCTTATATACTAGCTGTCCCCTCTGTCTCCTTATATACTAGCTGTCTCTTCTGTCTCCTTATATACAAGCTGTCTCTTTTGTCTCTTCTTTGCCTCACCATCAGCCTGAGGGTTTTGTCTCCTCCGCTGCAGCAGCAGGAGACAGTATGTGGGGTTATAGCTGCTATCTAAGGAACTTAGGGTTTAGGGTTTAGGGTTTAGGGTTTAGGGTTTCAGCTCCGTTGCAGCTCTGATGTAAGAGTCTTAAGGCGTAGATAGACGAGGACTCACACTCCCCCAAACCCTAAACCCTAAACCCTAAACCCTAAACCCTAAACCCTAAACCCTTGAATCCTCATTGGCCCCCAAACTTACAGACAAACCCTAAACCCTAAACCCTAAACCCTCAACTGTCAGCTGCAAACCCTCNTGGCCCCCAAACTTACAGACAAACCCTAAACCCTAAACCCTAAACCCTCAACTGTCAGCTGCAAACCCTCGATGGAGACACGAGATAAACGTAAACCCTCAGCAGCTTTTTTATAATTTTATAAGCAAAGACAAACTGCAGAAACTCCATAGAGAAATCCTAAACCCTAAACCCTAAACCCTAAACCCTAAACCCTCAAGAGAAAAACAACGTTCAATACAGCCACGCATATGTTCACTAACCTCTGGCCTGCTGCAGCAGCAGACTGCTGCAAGTACTGCAGCAGGAAATAACTGCAGATGCTGCTGCAGCAGTTCGCTGCAGCAGCAGATTGCTGCAGCAGCAGATTGCTGCAGCAGCAGATTGCTGCAGCAGCAGATTGCTGCAGCAGAAGATTGCTGCAGCAGCAGATTGCTGCAGCAGCAGGTTGCTGTAGCAGCAGATTGCTGCAGCAGCAGATTGCTGCTGATGCTGCTGCAGCAAACTGCTGCAGCAGCAAGTTGTTATAGATGCTGCTGCAGCATTCTGCTGCAGCAGCAGATTGCTGCAGAGGCTGCAGCAGCAGACTGCTGCAGTACAAACAAAAAGTGAAGATGTGGGCCCCATGGTTGCTGCTACCACCTGCAGCAGCAGCAGCTGCTGCAGGTGGTAGCAGCAGCTGCTGCAGCACCTGCTGCAGCAGCTGCAGCAGCAGCTGCAGCAGCAGCAGCAGCAGCAGGAGAAATGCTGCTGCATCAGCTGCTGGGGCAAGCAGTAGAAGGGAGAGACCCTTCTCTCATAAGCAGCGAGTTTACTGGCATCGGCATTGGTGTGTGTCTGCCTTGGGTGGGGTTGTTGTTATTGTTGTATAGAGCTGCTGCTGCTGCTGCTGCTGCTGCTGCTGCAGTGTTTATGGGTCCCCCTTCAACGGGGCCCCCATAGAAGAGGGGCCCCCCACCTCCGAGGTCCTGGGGGGCCCCCCCACCCTGCAGGGGGGCCCCCTGCAGGGGGCCCCCATCGAGGGTTTCTGCTGCTGTGTCTGCTGGGGGCCCCAGCACGAGCAGGGGCCCCAGTATAGCCTCAAGGAGACCATGTATAGTGAAGAGGAGACAGACAGCAGCAACAGCAGCAGCAGGACCCCAAGACAGCAGCAGCACGAATATAGTATTAACTAATAATATAAGAAAAGCATCAACGAGAGTAACAAACAAACCAACAAAACCAAAAAGAGAAAATGCTTGCTGCTGTGAGCTTATAAGCCCCTGCAGCAGAACTGCAGCCCCAGATTTTGGTGCTGCAGTGCATGCATAGAAGACAAAGGTAGCAATAAATATTAAAAACAAAGACAACATGTGTGGGGTGTCTCCTGTCTCCTGTAGTATCAAAGCAATAGGTATAAGCCATAAACCTAAAGAACCCAAAAGGAGACAAAAAAATAAAACACGATAACTACTGTCTCTTGTTGCTGCTGTGGGGTGTCTCCATATACACCTCATCACTGCAGCACCAACACAACCCCCAGCCTTTCCTACGGCTATCAAGGAGACAGTCCATGCGTTTGCTGCTAGTGCTTGCTGCGGTGCAGAAGCAAACATATGTGGGGTGTATAGACATAGAAGAGGCAGCAGAACGGAGACAACAGCATCCTCAACAGCTGTATCGACAGCTAGCAGCAGCACCTGCGCCCCCACCTGTCTCTCTCTCACCGCCAGCAGCAACCCTCTATATATATCTCTTAGCCGCAGCAGCACCTCTACCCTAAACCCCACACACCCCACACTGTCTCCTGTACAGTCAGTGAACGAGTCATCGCTACACAAACTGTCTCCGATCCCCTGTCCCCCGCCCCACCCCA